GCCTTGTTGAGGAAGCTGAAGGTGAAGGTGAGTGGCCAAGAATTTCTCCAGACCTGAACCCTATTGAGCACCTGTGGGGCGTCCTCAAGCGGAAGGTGGAGAAGCGCCATGTGTCTAACATCCAGCAGCTCCATGATGTCATTATGGAGGAGTGGAAGAGGATCCCAGCAACAACCTGTGCAGCTCTGGTGAACTCCATAGGTGCGTTCCATTCGACCGTAAGTGGACTGCGAAGTGGACTTCACAGGGTATTTCACCATCTTAAGTGAGATTCCAATCCGAAGGGAACGAACATGTTCAGTTTGAAGGGCACTGCAAACGCATAGGAAATAAGGGAACATCGATACATCACTTCACAGGAAGTAGAGAGTGAAAATCAACCAACTGTCATTGTGCACCACGTCACCAGTCTGAACTAACCATAGAGCAGAGCCGTTGGAAGAGATTTTAAATTTAAATTTCTAACGGCTCTGAGTTTACGTATGCATTGAGTAGTCATAAATATTGTTATTATTATACAAACTAGAGTATTTATGAACGGTTGGGGTGATGAATGTATCTATAGGCCTATATGATTTTAAATTAGAAACTAAAGTAAATTACAAAATTTAATTAAGTTATATCATAATCTTTGATGACGTTTCAAGGCATTCCAAATGAGTGATTATTGTCAGCAAAGTCCACTTCAACTGATGTACCGTGTTCAGGGAGTAGGGAGCAGTGAACACTGCGTAGGGACCCTGTCAAATGGAACGCACCTCATCATTAAGGTAGTGCTAGATAACAATAGTGTACACACAAAATATTGACACTTTAGGCACAGTTTTGACATGTTAACTTAGGGTGTTCTCACTTTTGTTGCCAGCTATCTTGACAATAATGGCTGTATGTTGAGTTATTTTCAGAGGACAGTAAATCTATACTGCTATACAAGCAGCACATTGACTCTCAAATATATCCAAGTTTCATTTCTATAGTTTTGTCCCTTGAGAAGATATACTAAAATGGTTCCCGAAATGTGAGGGGTGTAGGGCCTACTCACTTTTGTGAGATACTATTTATATATATATATATATATATATATATATATATATATATATATATATATATATATATATATATATATATATATATATATATATATATATATATATATAAAATTGCCACGCCTATTCAGTTGTGTTTGTTTTTAGTTTCGGTTTCATGGACTTTTAGTTTGTTTTCATTCATCATATGTTCTTTTGTTTGAATTTCCCGCCACTCATCAGTTTCCATGGACACTAATCTTCACAGCTGTTTGTCATTTAGTTCATCACCATGTATTTAAGTTCCTCACATTCAGTCTGTGTTTGGTGGTTGATATTTATGTTTGCATTTGTTTAACGCACACCCTCTGTATTTTACATTATTAAGGATTTTTTGTATTGGAACCTGTGGAATCGTCTTCATCATGTGACAGATCGACTGACCCAAAAGATGGATTATGCAGCTAAGTTTTCTGTGATTGCCCATGAGGACGTTGATTTATTTTATTTTTTTGCTGAAAATGTGTTGTCTTGATCACTAGCCCCTTCGACGACAAGACCTTGAAATCTTTGTTCTGGATCTGGGCTAACTACCACTATACCACAGACCTCCCAGAAACCTCTGGACTAAACTGGAGGGATGTCATCATCTGGTGTCTGTAGAGTGTCTACCCCCGGTCCAGAACACATGTGGACCCAGAGCCTGTTTCACCATTTGTGGCCACAGAGGAATCGTGAGCCCCCCACAGACAGAGCTACAATCCGCTGAGACACGTCAGCCAGAGCCCGGTGATAAGTGGACAGCACTGACCCTCGCCAAGAAAGAGGAGCCCCCCTCTTTTTGCATTGAAAACTGGAATCTTTATCTTGTGACAATAATATCTTTTGATAATAATTACTTCTGATTTATGCAGAACAGACAAACATTGTGCTGGTTAACCTACAAACCATTGTCATTCCACCGATGCTATTTCGGCGGGAGGTATGGTTAGGATGTCACTTAAAGCATCTTATACATTCACATACTCACACAATGTACTATGTTTTAGCTAAACATAGCTTACAGTTGCCACCTATTAAAATTCCACCGACTAGCTTTCAGGTCTTCAAAGTAGAAGGGAAGCTGTTTCTCCTTACCATGTTAAAGAGAACCGAGGTGCTAAGAGTGAAAAGAATGAGAGAGGAGGAATACACCTGTCTCATTTATCAGGAATGAAGATGGGCTAGATACTTGCATAATCGACAGTCTGCTTTCAAGCATTAAAGTTGGAGATGAAGAAATGTATCATTATGAAGGGATAATGTGCTGTAATACGGTTCAGTGGATCCACCTTAGATTAGTACATATTTGTTGTTTTTACAATCCTTTTGTTCCATTAACTCTCTGGGGTCGGCGGTCTCGCCGGCGATACCAGCTCACTTTTTTCCTTATCAGTGCAAAAGAGACTCAAATTACTCTGTTAATTTTGATCTTACATATAAGTGTTGTACATCATTCGATCCTGTTAAGTTTGTATTTTTTTTGTGGAACCTCACAATAAAAACAAAGTGTTGTGCTTTTCGCCTAATAAAGAAAAATAAACATGATGCGCGTTCTGCGTTCTCTCTGTCAGTGAAGTCCATTCTGAAACGCGTCCGAAAAATCATCTGTAACTCTGCAAATACTCAGTCAAACAGGTATACAGGCACACAGGCATGAAGCCTGAATTATCTTCTTTTAAATGAAGTAATTTATATTAAAAAAAAAATTTCTCATTTTATGTAATCTGTACGAAAAGAGAGAGATGATAGTCGTTCTCGTCTCAGCTCATTAAAGTTAATTTGACCACGCCCACGGAGCGCGCGCTCTATTCAAACACAAATGCTCTGAGGCGATCCACGCCCACACCAGCTGGATAACCACCGAAAGAGACACATATTACGATGCTGTGAGGAATAATAGTACTATCTTAATAATAATCCTGGAAAAAATTACCTCAGAAGTAGGCTACAGGTAGTTTCATTTGGAGGAGCAACGGATCCAGCCGAGGAAATAGGTAGGCTACATTCTTTATTTTCAAGTGCTTTGTTCTAATCGCGATATGGAATAGTGTCGGTAAACAAAAAGACTGTTTGGATCGCGTTTTTGTGTGTGAATGAATGAACAGCTTTTACCTAAGTATATTCCAATACTGAGATGAGTAAAAATCGACTGAAATATGTTGAAATAAAATATTTTTGTATAAGCAACGTATTAAACTGCAAATTAACATTTATATGTCCTAATCATAAAAACGATATGTTACATATGAAAGACAAGATGTCGTTTTTACTGTAAAATACTGCCACATCAAATAAGCTTGTTGCTAAGATGTTATTATAGTGTTTGTTCGATTGTAAGCTATATTCAAACTAATTAATCTGCAACTGTGAAATATGTATGATAAAATGTATACTTTAGTATATAATACAAAGAAAGATTACATTTGAAATATAGTTAAAATTTTAATTGTTGTTGTAATTGTAACCTTTTTATTAAAATAGCAAAAATATATGTAGGCTACATATAAATAAATCTTAGGTAAATCTTAAAAGCTCAATATAAGCCTCCTCTTTAAATTATTTGTATTGTGTTTTATTAGTGACACATTTGGGATACATTCCCAAACTTTCTGTAAAAACAGTATGATAATTAACTGCACAATTACTAGAAATTTTTACATTTGATATTATACAATTTGCAAGCACAATTTGAAAAATAAATAAATAATTGGAACTGTGAACCAATTTTGTATTATATAGGCATATATATATATATATATATATATATTGTCATTGCATTCTTGTGGCTCAGTGACACACCTGAATGAAAGGCTCATTAGTATGCAGCCCCATTATGCGCTCATTATGCGGGCCCATTGTCTTCTCAGGTGTGAATCACAGCAGGTCACACCCCTGCGCATATTGCCTTTCCAAACAAAAAGTGTCATTTTTAAATTTAAACCAATCTATTGTTTTATGTGAATGATAAGACAGGATGATTTTCAGATCATTTTGAAGAAAAAACTCTAGGCCACAACATCCATTAGTCAAAAGTCTTGTGGACACATATTTAGTATGTGTTTTGTGGCCTTATTTCAGAAACTTTAAGTTTTAGTTTTTTCAATAACCACGCATAAACAATATTCTCTCAAAAATACAAAAATGTACATACATGTTGATAACACATTATGGTAGCCCTGTGTGTGCTAAATAGAGTGTAATTACACCTTTGCCAGTAATATGTTTATAAGCAACTGAAAAAAGCACAAATGTCAGAGTATGTCGAAACATCTCAAGGACCCCAAAAACACCTTGGACCCCAGAGGGTTAAGCAATAATGATATCATTTTTGGAGGCCTTATATGAGGTGACAAGTTCTTCAGCCAAATGTCAGCAATATTAGTAAATAATTTATTTCAATCCACATTGCTTCAAGGTGTTTTAGAGGAAAGCTAGGTCTAAATCTTTGGCTTCTTATGACACCCTCCAGGTCCATTTGCAAGTCCAAAATCTCAGTATTGGCAAAGTTGCTGTGGATACATAACATTTCCCACAACATAAAAAGGTGAACCGAATAATGTTTGGGTTGCGTGTGACGGTAATGTAAGTGCAATGTCAGACGCCCTGGCGCATGCTGAACTCTGGGGTCAGAAAACCTATTCTTTCTTCTCTTTGTATAAACAAAAAAAAAAATTAAACACTTTTTGCACAAAACACTTTCAGTGAAATAAACTAAAATACCATGCTATTTTCTTGAAACATTTGCACTCTGCGCTTTTTTTCTCATAAGATCTGCTTCATATTCACAACTGTGAGTATGTGTGCTGTACTATATCCTTTTATTGGCTCATTTCATGGTACACGTGAACTACACATGGTTTAAGTGACAGGATCAACCTCATGTTCACCACCTCAACCACCTACAGACCCCCTCCCCATAGGCAGTGTATTTTCCTCCCCCCTTTTTTCAAGAGTGAATAAGAAGGGAACCCAGAGACTGAGAGACTCGGAGTCAAAAGACGCTCATCCACCCCTGCAATGCCCAGTAGTACCCCAAGCACCAACGGAATCATGCCTGAAGCAAAGAACGCAGGTAAGGACTGCTCTCATTACCTTACCTATATCAATGTACTATTTTCCAAACAGGCTCACCTGTTTGCCAGGACACCTTGTTGTCACTTTCTACCTCAATTAAGCTAAGAACTATAACTTGCAACAAATGCACCATTGGATGTTGCTTGATATTTTTTAATAATCTGGCACAGAAGTAAATAAGTAAAACTTGTGCTTTATAGAAGTAAAGCAGTGCTTTATAGAAGACATATTTATGTACCTCAATTTTCACATAGATATAAATGGAGGGAGATCAACAGAAAAAAATTGGCATGGTAAGATAGAATATAAAATCAAAAATCAAATGTACAAGTCACTTAATAAAAAATTAAAAACCCCAGCAAGACTAAGTGAGGGCATAAGAAAATTAAGTTGCCCGAGGAAAAGCCCTAGTAAACAAAGTCTATATTTGTGGTTATGGTATAATTATATTTAGTTTGATTAAAAAAAATAGTTATTTAATTTATGAATATTTGATTTGTATTATATATAATTTTATATTTATATTCTCGTTTATCGTGGTAGATCACAAAATTGAAAACATAAAATAACCTAACTGACAGGTATAATTGAAACGAAGGGGAAAATAGTGTGTGTGTGTGTGTGTGTGTGTGTGTGTGTGTGTGTGTGTGTGTGTCAACCATTTTTGTGGACAACTTTGTAGTGAGCTAAATCTGACAAAACCTCCTTTTAGGGAAGTCCTCATTTGTGAATAAATAAATGTATATAAAACCAAAAGTAGTCCATGGAATACCCCTATTGAGAGAGCTAAGTAAATATGTGTGCATGTGTGTGTGACCGTAGTCTGAAATGTAATGATAATAATTCATCTCAGACTGTGGAATGCACCTGGTCATGCAAACACACATCTTTCTGGACACTTCAAACCGAGTCTACATGCCTAGGACCTGCAGTATTTACAGCTCTGGTGACAGTATCCAAACTAAAAGTGTCACCACAATGCTGACTTGATGGAAGGTTATTCTGACAGTTTGTGTGAGTTGCGGATACTCCGAGAAAGCTGAGATCAGAGGTACACAGGAAAGACTAACGGCCGACAGCATGAGGAGAGGGCACCTTGGACATTATTGTCATACTGTTACTCTCCGGGCTCTTCTGCACAGCTTAACATCTCATTGGCTCACAGGAAAATAATAATAGTCTTTACAGACACAAAGAGTTTAGCAGCTGCTCTACTCAATCTTTCGACAACAAATTATAATAAGAGGAAAGATGCTCATACAAGACCACTCTCTCTTGGCCCTGCATATATTTTAAGATAAGCATGTTGTTAAACATCCTTTAGACTCAAGCAGTCTTATCACATACATACTATTTAAAGTGCTTTAAAGAGGTCAAATGCGAGATATGTACACATAAACAAGGCTTTTACTCAGCATTTACAAATACTGTGTATGCCCAACACTATAAGTAATTGCATATTTCAAATGTTTCCAAATTCAATATCAGACAGTGAGATTGATGTATATGTACAGAAGTAACCCGATCTGCAGTCATCAGATGAATCTTCTTTCAGGTGTTATATAGTTGCACGGTACCTCTTTCACCCTTCTACTTTAACACTTCGTCCTCATCTGTCATCTCAACAACTCTATCACTTTCTCTTCCATCTTGCTCTTAATTTCATTTCAATTTTTTAGTTGGATTAAAATCTTTTGCTCATTTTAATTTTTAATATTTATTTTGTATTAAAATGTAAAAATATTATTCATAATTTTCAATTAAAACAATATAAAATAAGTAAACATGTCAAATTAAATAATATAATATAATTTTTAGTATTGCCTTTCACCTTGTTAACACCTTATTAAAAGTTGAAAAGAGGCTCCCACTGATTTCTTATGAACTTATCAATGATGACATGCCGCCTTCTTGATCACAAGAATAATGAAGTGTAAAACCCTCCACAGTAACTTATCTCCACCCCTCTACCGTCCTTGTATGCCTTCAGTGATTTAGGCAAGTTGGGTCTGACTTACTGGGCATGGCAGTATTCGGCAAGATTAGTCACCACAAGCTCATGAGACACCATGAGTGCGTAATTCTCAGGAATCTAAGTCAGCATGGAAACCAACTCAATCACTGTTAAGAGAGATCTGATCTAACCAATACCTGAGAAGGTCTCTTATCCAAGCGGGTAGAATGTCTTTCTCAGGACTGTAATGTGTCACACCTCCAAAATCTCCCTTTACAGACATGAATCCCTCTATTTGTGCATCTGTCTGTTCATGTTATTTTCCATCGGGCCTGTTTCAAGTAAGCAATCAACAGAAGGCCGACACTCAGCATGAGCTTTTCAACACTCAGGGGGCCAGGGCCACAAGATCATATCCATCGCCTTCCCTCTCAAATCATCATAGCATAGCATCTCCTTGATCCAACCACCAAATATGAACCATCCCATGCCCATAGTGGCTGGGTGCATGGCAGGGGTTGGCAAGACACGCTACGGACGTGTCCAACACAAACAACTCGCTTTCTGCACTGTCATCACGAGCAAAAGACACCAAAGCCTAGCAAAGACCCTGAGGTCAACAACAAGCTGATGCTAAAAAGAGGTGAAGTTCAAACTTACTCAACAGTAGAAGGTTGCTCCAGTTTATATGATGAAAGTTTTATTGTAAAGATTCAATAAAAGGACAAGGTTTCATGAAGGTTATAAAATTTTTTGAAACTATAACATGGATAATACAACAGATTTTACCTTGATGCCATGCTCATGGTGTCCACAAGTATGAATGACACATCTTTATCAATCTTCACTACTCTTACATGTTTGTAATTTCCTGCAATGCAAAGACTTTTTTTAAACAGTCTTATTTTCCAGTTTAAAAAAAAAAAAGATTTTCAAGTAAAAGTATTATATTTTAAGAATATATATGTTTATATATAATACATTTACTTGAGAAGCACTATTTTTTGTAAGACTTTTAAAAACTTCTTTAGATAATATCTTGAATTATGTAAGTACAAATGTAAAAATAATAATTTATTCATTATTTTTTAAGCATAAAGCTCAATAAATTCTTAATATTTTACAACAATATATTGTTTAATAAATGTAATAATTTTTTTTTAATTTAAAAAAAAAAATAGTCTTGTGTTAAACATATAAGAAAAGTGTGTAAACAATGCCACAAATTTACCATGTTAATATGAAGGAATTGTAGATTCAGGGTGATATGGGTGATGGCCCACCCTGGATGGGAGACCTCCTGCTGCTGGAAGAGGTGTTAGTGAGGCCAGCAGGGGGCGCTCACCCTGTGGTCTGTGTGGGCCCTAACGCCACAGTATAGTGATGGGGACACTATACTGTCAAAAAGCACTGTCCTTCGGATGAGACGTTAAACCGAGGTCCTGACTCTCTGTGGTCATTAAGGATCCCAGGATGTCCATCGAAAAAAGAGTAGGGGTTTAACCCCGGCATCCTGGCCAAATTTGCCCTTTGGCTTCTGTCCATCGTCATGACTTCCTAATCACCCCCATATATATATATATATATATTTGCACTGATTGGCTTCATCACCACCATCGTCTCCTCTCCACCAGTAAGCTGGTGTGTTCTGGGCGTTCTGGCGCAATATGGCTGCCGTCCATCATCCAGGTGGATGCTGCACATTGGTGGTGGTTGAGGAGATTTCCCCCTTCCATATAAATCACTCTGAGTAGCGATAATAGCGATATATGTACAAAACGAATTAATATTATTAGATATTGATTTTTCACAATATGCATTGCATTGAGTTGTGTTTTTAGAGTTAAAGGGGACATATCATGAAAATCTGACTTTTTCCGTGTTTAAGTGCTATAATCCGGTCCCCAGTGCATCTACGAACACAGAAAACGTGAAAAGTGACAACCTAGTAACTTTGTTTTGGTAAGCCTTTCTCTGCAAGCATGCCAAAATATAAGCCGATCAGATTTCGCTCCCCTTCTGACGTAGGAAGGGGATCTTATCATAATATTACCGCCCCCAATCATTTGGTTTTCACAAGTGACAACAGTGTAACCAGTTCTAGCATTGGCAAAAGTTCGAGCAAAGCACGCAAACTGTTGGCTGCACAGACGAGCACACAGAACACTATTTGACCAAAACATTTCACAGCTGTCTTAGAAAGACCTCTGGGAACTGTGTCAACTTGTGTAGTTGAACATGACAGTACATGCAAGTCAATGAGATGAATCAATTAACAACTACATAAATTAGGATGCACTAACCATTCTGTTTCATAAAAGACGCTAAGAAAAGCGGGGATTAAACTCCAACACCATGACTTGAATTAACTTAACAAATAAATTTGGGCTAAAGCGGTTTCATAAAAGGTAATTAAAGTTCACGCAATCCCACTAATTTGATCCAGGTTCATCTAGTCTAGGTAATTGCGTGTGCACGCTTTTCTTAAGCAGCCCTAGAGGTCGACCATGGATCAAATCGATCCACCACAGCAAACAGCATGTTGTGCTGTTTTATGCATTTGAGACATGTTTTCCTCTGTGCAAAAATATCTGTAAATGTTGGAAAGTCGTGCAAGTATTTCCATTTTGCTGCTAAACTTCACGTTGAACGAGCGCTGCTGCGCGCCACATAGTGCAATAGCTTAATTCTGACTTAAATATACATTTTGCTTAGAAAATTTATATGCAATATTTTATAACACCAGAAATATCTTCTAACTATAATCATTTATCTTTAGGATGTTGGATAAGTTGCGGTGAACTTATAGCTCATTACACTCATAGCCTAAATGTTATACTTAAAAAAAAAAAAAAAAAAAAAAAAAAAATGAAAAGAAGTAGGCTGATTCAAGGAAGACATTTTTTAAGGAACCAAATATAATAAATATACAAATTGTAGTTTTGGGTGTATGTTTATGACATATAGCCTACTTATTTAGATTACTGAGAATTACAGCTTTTAAAGCAATAATTTTTGGAGGGAGAAAGCAAGAATCCCCAGATTGGTTTGATTTAGTTTCTAAAGTATGGAGAAGATAACATGAAATTAAGAGCAAAAGTATACATTTTGAAAAGATATGGGCAACTCTAAAATCAAAGAATATTCCATAAAATAAAGGAATACATATTACATGCAAATTACTTTTTTATATAACCATCCCTCCCTTTTAATTTTAGTTATTTGTTATTTAATGTATTTACTTAAAAATAAGGAATAATTATTGGGGGAAATATTATGTCTTTAAAGTAACTGTCCATTTGTATAATTGTGTTAAATGTGTTTGAATTGAAAGACATAATAAAGATATAAAAATATATATATATATATGCTAAAATATTTGTTGTTGGACATTAGATATGCCCTATTTAGAATTTTAAACCTAAAAGTAAGTGTATTTTATTTTTATGATAGCAATAACTATAAAGGGACTATTGTAATGGGGTAAATCAAATGTAGGCTAATATAGCCTACTGTTGGCCAATTACTAAGTTCAGATTCGTCATACAGTTCGAATTTAGTCTGTGCTTTTGTAATTATTTATTTTTAATTTTGTGATTTTAATTTCTGCTTTAAAAAGCTTTTTTTTAAAGATTGTAAAGTTCTAATGTTCTTCTAACCATAAAAATGTACTACAGCTGCCAAACAAAACCAGAGAGAAATGTATTCATAAATCTTTAAAACAATATAATTAAAACTTGGGCACAAAACATTCAACCAGTAAGGAAAGAACACCTGTAGGATATATATTGTGTGTTTGATAAATGATACAAGACCTACAAACATGTTAAATTATATTGTATAATATCAATTGTTTATGTAATATATATATACTGTATATAAAGTCAAATAATGGTATGGGAGAGTGTCAGTGGTAATTTCATTGTGTTTCTCGTGGTCAGTGTTAGAGGAACGGTGTAACAACTCAGGCTTATTAGCCTGACAGTTAGCCTGCCCTGGACCAGGTTAGTTTCCCAGCATAAGTTGCCAGAGTAACTGAGTTTGAATTATTTTAAGTTTGCTTTATGAAACAGAATCGTCCGACAATAAGTGACTTACCAAAATAAGCCTGGCTTGTATTCTAATCTTGTTTTATGGAACAGCCCTCAGGTTAGTTTCCCAGCATAAGTTGCCATATAACAACTTACTAATAACAATAACAAAACACGTGAATCATCCAAAATCTCAGAAATAACCAGTAGCGGAGTGCAGCCTTACGGAGAGTCTCCGGAAGAGATTGCAACTTTTAGACGCACATGAGGGCTGTTCCATAAAACAAGATTAGAATACAAGCCAGGCTTATTTTGGTTAGTCAGACTTATTGTCGGTTGATTCTGTTTCATAAAGCAAACTTTGTTTTTGTGAGGGGAAATTTGACAACCTAGGCTATAATAAATGATCTGGGGGGTATTTTGAGCTGAAATTTCACAGACACATTCTGGGGACACCATAGATTCATATTACATCTTGTGAAAAGGGCATATTATGTCACTTTTAAAAGAAATGCCCGTAAACTTGATGTCCGGGAAGAAAATGACCTTTTCCGGGGTTTTGTTGTTGCTATTGTTTTTTACTGGAAAATGAGACAATAATACATATGTCTTCTGATCTGTGCCAAACCTTTCACAGTTATGTGCTGATCTGGTGAAAGATGTGCATGAACGAGCCTTTGTGGATGACCCCTCATTGGACATAAGGGATTTTGAAATAAGGTTGTCCCCCAGACCCCCTCCATGTACCTCTTGTTTACATCATTTTCCATGGTCATTCTCCACCAAGTTACCACTCACAAAACACCAGCGTTGAATCTTACACCAGGGAGAAACCCCTAACTTGAAGAGCTGTCAGTGCGTCTTTAAATTGCGTGAACAGAGACTCACCGAGATCTTTCTGACTTGTTTTATTTTGGAGCTCTGCTTCATGACCATGGTTATAGTACAGTATGCTGGCTGTTCTGCTCGACCCCTCCCTCTTGTTCTTTCTGAGTCCCTCCATACCAGCCCCTATAAGGGAGAGGTCCCGAAGAGAGGGTGAAACAGGCTGACTGATGGAGTGACCTGTCAGCAGCAGTTGCTAATCTCTGGCCCTGATCCCTTACCACCTCCGTTCCCTTCGTTCCTCTACCATCCATTCCTCTATAACTGCCTGTGTTTAAGCCCAAAGGTATTGATGGTATTTATATGTGCACCTGGATTATTTCTAAGGTTTCATTTCATGTGCTTAACATTAATAAAGATTAATGACTGCACCGCCATTTTTCATTATCCTCCATTTGATCGAGCTTGTATCTCATAATTACTTGATGGCCTCAAGGGCCTGCTTGTCACGATGTGCATAGAGCATGTGTGTCTTCGAGATGTATAACATATAAAATAATTGAAGGTTGATAAAAGATGATAATGTTGGCGCTTGGCGATGATGGTGATTACTGAACTGATCTGTTTTCAGTGATTGTCAGCAAGATCACAAACAGTGGTGGGGGTCTTGAACAGGTGTACAGAAGTCCCTGTCCTGTATGCATTGGAACACAGCTGACCCGATCATTTAGGGCTGCACGCTGTCACGAAGATCCATTAAAGTGATGCCAGTCACCTCTGATGGGGATATCTGATGGTATCTGGTTTCACTGAGAGTGAGACAAAAATTCTGCAAGGTGTCACTTTCAGACCTTTTTTTTAATCAGCCGACAGCAGAACCCTACACTGAAAATATGACATGGTTACATTTTATTTTAAGGTGTCCGTGTTACAGTGTAATTATACATTTAAGTACTGAGTAATAATAATTAACTACATGTACTTACTATAAGGTTAGGATTTGGTTGTAATTATATGCATATATAGTTTTTATTACAGTAAACTAACAAGGATACAGTAAAATAAAGTGTTAAAGTGTTAGTCTTTTGATCTAACGATATAGCACTAAAATATTTAAAAACGTTGAAAAATATCTCAAATAAAATGGCTAAAAAATATACCTTAAAATAAGAATCATTTATTTGAGAAGCAACACTGCAAAATGTATTCATATTTAAGCCAAAATCCATAGACCTTTTCCCTTTTCCCATACTTAAAAATGTATGTCAATGCAGTAAAACAAAACACATTTGTATTTTGGCCAAATATTTTAACATATGTTTTTTTGTGGTAAAAGTGCAATTCTATAAAGATACATTCTCTGAAAACATAATATGCAGTCTTGCTTGTCAAGTAAATTTATCTTCTCTTAAGAATTTGTAGATATTTAACTGAAAAAAAAGAGAAAAATTATCTTTGTCGGAGTCGATAGCCTTGAGGTCAGCGCTCTGACATACAATGCAACTGCAACTCCGCAGACCCGAGTTCGATTCCCAGTTCAAGATCCTTTGCTGATCCCGTGCCTCTTGCTCCACTTGTGGTTTCCTCTCTAATCTCTACTCTGTCCAGTCCAATAAAGCCATAAAAAGACAAAATATAACCATATATAGCCATGTAACTTAAAAAAAAGAAAAAAAAAAGAGAAAGATAATTGCCACTTGCAGGCCTCAAACCAGCAACCTTTCTGTTTTAACCACTACAACACTCTTTTTTCAGGACACTATGTGGAAGTCTTGTACAATTCATTGTTACAGTGACCTTCTCCCCCTCTGGCACTTAACACTTAAATTGACAAAAAAGTTGAACTAATACACTTAATGCTCCTGAGCATTATGATAACCGAAGGGAGGGAGCAACTAATGTTAATGTCCACATTAACAAAAGAAGGCAAAAATGTGGGAGCACTAATGCATGAGCAAGAAGACCGCAGATGGTTTTCTGAGAAGGTGCTTGTGAAAATCAATAATAGAGAGAAAAGTGTTAAACCTGCAAGCCCAGTGCTGGACATAAACATGCCAATAACACCATGGAAATTAAGTATTTTTAGAAACTGCTGTCAGAGCCTGTGATGTGTGTCCATGGTGAATGTAAGTTTAGGCCTAGCATGCTTCTTAGATGTAACATAAACCCTGACAGGCATGGGTAAACTATATGATGCAGTGCTAACAACAGTGGGGGAAGATGAATGGCATACCATAGGGTGATACATTGCACGCGAGAGGTAAGGAAAGCGGATCAGAAAAGCAATGTATAGAAATGGAAGACTCTAGAATGCTTGTGTAGTGTCAGTGTAATCCTAAAACTGCCCATTGCTTCATTTAAAGTGTTTTGAGGTTAACCCCTGATGTTAATTGATGTCAATTTTCACTCATACAGGAAGAAAAGGATCAAGAGCAGAAGCAAATCCTGCAGGTACTTGTGAACCATGCAATCCAACAAAGACAGCTGCGGTCTTTACACCTCTCTGTCTTAATAGTGTTAATGGGAGTGGATCATAATACAATGGAGATCACCTGAAGCCTGAGCCTCCAGTAGACAGCTGACATTTAAATAGGATTGTGCAGTCGTGGTAAATAATATAATGACCTCTTTCTCTTTCTTCTCCCTTCCATCACAGCAAAGGCACCACCGTATGAGCCCAACATCACCGAGCCCAATACTAGAGCTGAGCTGATGAAGTGTACGCATCAGCATGGGACAGTCCTTTTATATGGTTCTGTATTGTAAGTTTATAGCCGCTTGTCCTCTGAAATGTTATTTCTCTCTCAGACTGGATAAATCTTTCTCTGGATGATAGAACTGCTCAGAAAATGTTGTGGCTCTCAGAAGGTGGGGCCAAAGTGTCACGTATGTCAGAGGAAGTGTGTCCTGTTCTGGACAGATCAGAGAGATATGAACATTCACCACAGGTAAGCAAGTCAGTCTCCTCTATCTGTCTCTATTTTTGTTGTTGTTGTTGTTCAAATCTGTAGTATAATATAAATCCATTTTATATCCTCTCATGGATATACATTCTTTTAGTAGGCCTACTGTCTTTTTTATTTATGCTTTAAAAGGGTTTGGTCACACAAAAATGTAAGTTTTGTCATCATTTATCCCTCATGTCTTTCCAAAACTTTCATTCATCTTCAGAACAAAAAGAACATTCTCTCATTTGTTTTGTCCATCCATTACGTAGTCAAAATTGTCAAGCTTCACATAGTACAGAAATACATCGTAAAAGTAATTTATATGAATTTAGTGGTTTAATCCATGTCTTCTGAAGAGACACGATGTACGTGTACACGATATATATATACAAAATGATTTGATCAGATTTAATTGAAGTGCTTATTCACATATAAACATTGATCAACAAAAAACATGACTTAAAGACATAATTATGACATAAAAGTTGAAATTATGAGATACCAATTCGTGATTATGAGAAAACTAGTCAGAATTATGACATTTGAAATCAAAATCTCATAATGTTTTATGTTATAATTATTCTTTTTATTTCATTATTTTCATTAAATGATATCTAAACTAGCTACAACCACCAAACTCAGGTCAAACTTCTGTATATCTTTTCTAACTGATCTGACTTGATCTAAGCAGACGATCAAAACCAGGAAAAGTCCCATAGACTTTCATTCAGGGGGTCAAAACTTTTATACAAAAACTCTAATAGAGTATTTAAAGCTGCAGTCCGTGGCTTTTTTTAGGTTAAAAAGGATCCAAAATACATATTTGAGAAAATACATAACCAGTCAGTGTTCAAAACTCTCTGCTTGCCTTAGCTCGATTCAAAGCGGTATAAGCTTGTAATAATGTTTTTAATTCCAGTGGTACTGGTGAATTTCCACGGGAGATTCGAGCTTGTCTTTGTGTCATTACGTCACATCTGTACACATAAAGAAGGAGTCTCGGCTAGTAGGCTATATTGCGTGTGAGGATTCTGGAGGTGGAGAATTTATAGCCTTTTCTCACAGCACTTGATATAATTAAACTTATCAATTTGATGGCGGATCCAGAAAGGTTCAAACGACAATCACCAGTGACAACAGATTCACCCGCTGTAAAATGCAAAAGACTTCGTTCGGACTTCGGAGTGGCTACAGGAAAAAAGAGACTGCAACCGGACCCATGCGAAGACGTGGGAATAGAAGAGGTAACGAGTACTGTGTAATATCTTACACTAGGGGAAAACCTCTTTTCCACGAGATATTGAAGCCAAAAATTATCCTTAATTTTGTATTAATGTAAAACGCGTTGCGGCAGCATGCAGACATAGGCAAGGCGGCTTGCGTGCCTATTGGCTGTCCTGCGGCAACTGCAGCAGCCTATCGAGAGAGGCCCTTTGGTGACGGTCCAATGGGGGCGCAATGACGGTCCAACTGCGTCACCTTCCCGCCGAAGTAGGCGTTGGGCCAAATGACTCGAAGGCCCTATAAATATAGCTCGATGGGCTGATATCACTGGTTTTTCATCGCCGAAGCGAACCAGAGCGTGTTGCAGGCACGGCAAGATACGCAGTACTCGTTCCCTCTTCTAGAGAGAACCGAGTACGTTCTCTTACGAGAGGTTCTCTCGTACTGCGTAATATCTTACGCTAGGGGAACACAGTGTAAAACGCCGTGCGTGCTGGGATCCAACACCAAAGTCCCAAGGGCAGGTGCCCGGGGCTCATATAGTGCACAATCACCAGGGACTCACAGAGAGTCTGAGAAGAGAGGCTAACAGCGTCATTCCCAATAAGTTAGCATCCCAAAGGAGCTAATCACTGTCACAGTGTTTCACACAGTCAGGGTGAAAACATTCGGCCTGAACTGTGTAACAGTGTGGGTCTTACTTTTTGCCCATGGCCATGGGGTAATTTTATCGGTCAGCGAGCGGTGCTCAAGCGATTGTAGTATTCTGCGCCGAAGCAGCGGGGCAGACAGTACTTGATTTTATACCGATAGTAGTTTAGACTGTAAGGCAGGAACCTCTAGGTTATAAAACCTTATAAATGTAGACGGGGGGGGCCCAGCCTGCCGCCATACAGATATCTTGTAAGGTAATCCCGCTAGACCAAGGCCACGACGAGGCCATGCCTCTTGTGGAGTGCGCTCTAACACCTAAAGGGCACTTAAGGCCCTTTGACGTGTATGCCAGCGCTATGGCGTCAACTATCCATCTAGATAGGCTCTGTTTCAACGCAGCTAGTCCCTTAGCACGTCCGCTGAACAAAACAAAGAGCTGCTCAGTCTGTCTGAAAACAGACGAGCGAGACACATAAGCTCTTAATGCCCTGACTAGGCAAAGGAAGCTCGCGTCCATCTCCTCGTTATAAACCGGAAGGGCGGATAGGGAAATCACCTGGGCCCTGAATGGTGTGTTGAGGGATTTAGGCACATATCCGTGTCTTGGTTTGAGTATGACTTTCGAGTCATTTGGCCCAAATTCCAAACACGTTGCACTTACTGAGAGCGCTTGTAAATCCCCTATGCGCTTTACTGAAGCGAGAGCCATAAAAAACGCTGTCTTGAACGACAGGTGTTTCATGTCCGACAGATGGATCGGCTCAAACGGGGCACCTTTCATGGCTTCCAGAACCGTGGAAAGGTCCCATATGGGGATTGAGGGGCGTCTGGGAGGATTTAACCTCTTAGCTCCTTTTAGGAAGCGGATGACCAGATCATTTTTCCCCAGTGACTGGCCAGTCGCGAGTTTTGTAAACGCAGCTATGGCCGCCACATAAACTTTGAGCGTGAATGGGGTCCTGCCCTTATCCAGCAGCTCTTGAAGGAAGGAGAGCACTTCCGTAACCCCGCAGTCTGGGGGTGAAAAGCCTCAGGCTTTGCACCAGCCAGCAAACACTGACCAATTTGAGGCATAGAGTCGTCTAGTGGACGGCGCTCTAGCCTGCGTGATCGTGTTTAACACTCCCTCGGGGAGATTTGGGGGTACCCGTTGATGGCCCATGCGTGCAGGGACCACAGCTCCGGGCGAGGATGCCAAATCGAGCCCTTGGCCTGAGAGAGGAGGTCTTTCCTCATCGGTATTGGCCATGGGGCAGTGCTCGTCAGCTGCATCAGGACTGGGAACCAAGCTTGGTTTGTCCAGAGCGGAGCCACAAGGAGCACTGAACATCCGTTTTCCCTGATTCGTTCCAACACCTGAGGCAGGAGCAAAACTGGGGGAAAAGCATAGAGCGGGCAGCGGGGCCAGACATGGGCCAGCGCATCCCTGCTCTTGGAGAAAAACTTCGGACAGTGAGCGTTCTTGCGCTCTGCCGAATGTCTCCCACAGCAGAAGGACTGTCTGCGGGTGCAGAGACCATTCTCCTGCTGGAACATTGTTTCTGGACAGTCTGACTGGCCCCAAATTCAGGCGACCAGGCACATGTGCTGCTCTCAGTGAGCGCAGATTGTGCTGAGCCCAGACCAGGAGGCGTTCTGTCAGCCTGTAAAGGTTTCGGGATCTGGCGCCGCCCTGGTGATTTATGTAGGCTGCCACCGATATGTTGTCCGAGTGGACCAAGATGTGGTGCCCTTTTATACGGGGACAAAGGCGCCTCAGTGCACTGTCGACTGCCATCTTTTCTAGACAGTTTATGTGTAGGAGCTTCTATCATTCTGACCACTGGCCGGAGAACGGTCTGCCCTCGTGCAGCGCTCCCCATCCCGATGTGGAGGCGTCCATGGACACCACCTGCACACTCGGGGAAGTCCCCAGGCTTACACCTGACTGGCACCAGTCGGTCGCTCTCCAAGGTATCAGAGCTGTGACGCATTTCTGATCGACCTTGAGGCGAAACAGACCGGAGGCCCAAGCTCGAGGCGGTACTCGTGCTATTAGCCATAACTGCAGTGGGCGCATGCACAGCAGACCCAGCTGGAGTACTGATGATGCTGAGGCCATGAGACCCAGCATTTTCTGAAACCTCTTGAGCGGGACTATAGTGCCGCAGCGGAAGGATTTCGTGATGCGCTGAATGTTCAGTCTGCGCTCTGGCGACAGTCGAGTTCAGTTCTGTACTCAGGAAGGATATTTCCTGACTGGGAGACAGCGAACTTTTCGCCCAATTGACTGTGAGACCCAGATTCTCGAGGTGCTCGAGTAATATGGTCCTGTGTTCTATGAGCTCTGAATGAGATCGAGCTAGAATCAGCCAATCGTCCAAGTAGTTCAAAACTCACATGCCCCGAAGTCTCAGGGGCGCGAGAGCTGCGTCCATGCACATTATAAATGTACGGGGTGCAAGAGACAGGCCGAACGGTAGGACTGTGTATTGATATGCCTGGCCCTCGAAGGCGGATCTCAAGAATCGCCTGTGACGTGACGCTACTTGTATCTGGAAGTAAGCGTCCTTCTGATCTATTGACGTAAACCAGTCCCCTTGGCGAATTTGCGCGATGATTTTCCTGGTTGTGAGCATTCTGAACTGGCGTTTCATAAGCGCTCTGTTCAGCTGTCTTAGATCTAGAATGGGTCTGAGACCCCCGTCTTTTTCCGGTACCAGAAAATATCTGCTGTACAGACCCCCTTCGCTCTGAGCTTGAGATAAAGGCTCTATTGCCCCTTTGCTCAAAAGTGTCGCTATTTCGGCTTGACGTAGGTGCTTCAAACTCTTGAAGTAGGTTTTTACTGTAGATTTGACGCGCGCCGTGTTGCGGCAGGGGCGTCGAGCGAACTGTAGCGAATAGCCTCTTTTTATAGTGGCGGCAGAACGAGAGCGTTGTCTCTGGTCCCGCGGGACAGCGTGCACATTCACTGCACTGAAAACACCGTCAGCCTGAGCTGACTGTATGTGTGTTGGTTTCGTTTTACAGAAACCGTGGTACATGCAGTGTTTAGTGTTTGTGGGCACTGGGTTGTGGGCACATTCACTACATTTAATGCACAATTGACATGCGTCGATTCCATTTGTGCGAGCCCTGTACCGTGCCGGGCTGTGTTTGTGTGTAGAAATGAACACTGGGCTGTGGGCATTTTATTACACTCATAACACCATCAGCTGTGGCAATGCAAAATACAATGCTTATATGATTTTTCTGGGTCGCCGTGGAAACGGCATTTGTGTGCAGGCAAGCGGGCCGTGGTACCGGCTTATTTACTGCAAAATACACTGGAACAGTCGCATTTTCTGGAACTGAACGAGCGAAAAGTTTCGGTGGAAGTCTGGCCGCGGCGAGACTAAATTTTATCTGCAGCGAGAGCCGGGATCGAACACGGGTGTCTCGCACGAAGGTTTTGGGTTTCGCCACTGAGGCACAGGGGGAAACGACATTAGCTCGAGCAGATAAGAGAGCGTCATCACAGTTTTGTGTGTGTCGCGTTTGTTTGCAGGCATGCGTGTTATACAACAGGCTCATTGCTGCAATATTGACTTTTTCAGCCGTTTAAACTAAGAGGAGCTGAGAAATGTTTGAGAAATGGAGATTGGTCCGGCCTCGGCGGGACTAAAACACACTCTTTCCTCATTTCGCCGGTGACGCATGCCCACGGGGGGCGGGGGCGGGGTAGCTTTCTTATAACGTAAAGAAAGCTAGCCGCGGTTTTGCTCTCCCGTTTCCCTGACGACTCGCGGACAGAAGGGGGGGAGGTCCACAGAGCTCGCCCAATCCTCACTGTCCGACGCCAGGATAGATCAGCTGGCCTCCTCTACAGATGCAGCTATCTCGTCGTCATTAATGGCGGAAGCGGCAGCGCGCGGCGGCCGTTGTCCGTCAGTGAGCGACTCGAGTGAAGCTGGCGAGCTTTCGAACTGGCGAACCGGCGAGCTTTCACGGGCTGGAGAACGCTCGGGGACCTGCTGAGTACAGCGCTTTACGGCGCGGCACTACAGCGGGCGGAAGTGCAGACTCGGAGAAAAAATGCCAGGCGAGTTCTCAGAGTCACCATGGCAATAGCCCGCAATGATGGCAGCCACCGTCAGCGAGCACGAGAGCTGCATGATCCTTAACCAGGCGGGAAACGCAGATGAAATGGTGGTCCCCGTCGCTGAGTGCGGCTCGGCACGAGCCACTGGAACGAAGCATCTTTAAAAAAACGCTGCTCTTTTCAATAAAGAGAGAGAGAGTGTGAGTCGCAGCGGCGAACACACACTTATGCAGAGTGTAAAGGATATATACGCCGAATAGCGTAGCAGGACCGGCGACTGAACTTCAGTCACTGAAGGCGGCGAAGTGAAGGCCAGCGGCTTCAGATGCTGAGGCTCGTCCAGCAGAAGGCTTTTCCAGACGGCGCGGCTTCTCACTCCGGATCCAGCGATGCGTAAGCTTCGCTGAAGAGATGAAAAATCAGTGATATCAGCCCATCGAGCTATATTTATAGGGCTAGGCCACGCCTACTTCGGCGGGAAGGTGACGCAGTGGGACCGTCACCAAAGGGCCTCTCTCGATAGGCTGCTGCAGTTGACAGCCAATAGGCACGCAAGCCGCCTTGCCTATGTCTGCATGCTGCCGCAACGCGTTTTACATTAATACAAAATTAAGGATAATTTTTGGCTTCAATATCTCGTGGAAAATAGGTTTTCCCCTAGCGTAAGATATTACGCAGTACGAGAGAACCTCTCGTAAGAGAACAAGGACATATCGGAAGGACATTAGCCTGACTTCGTCATACTCATATTCTAGTCAGAATGTGAGTCTAATACTGCTTCATAGGGCTTTGATTATGAGGCGTGTCTTAACCGAACCAGGAAAAAAAAAACTCTGCACTCAATTGGATAGACCTACAACCAATGAGAGCAACGCAGTAAGTCAACTACTTTGCATAGCACAGTTGTCAACTACAGAACTCCACTACACGCACGCTGGAAGAAGTAAAATAACGAGTGTTGCTTCTTTTACTTGGTCCTCTATGAGTGCGACCAAAGGAGAAACCACAACGACCACAGGGTTTTCATTGCGTCCCATCTTCTTAGTTACCATCGGAGCCAGCTGATAAATTAAACTTTTGCAGAGTCCCGTAGGAAGGACGGCAAACACATCTTTCCGATCGACAAATGCCTTGATTGCAGTTCTCTGTTCGTCTTTTAAAATGAATGCGCTGTCGATTTCTTTTACAACAGACTCGATAGCGGAATCTCTACATCTCAGTTCTCCAGCGGCAGTCATCTCTGAGGGAAACCAGTTCAAACCAAGCGCTCTTTGATAACGTGAGGATTACGTCCCTGCAGATCATCTGTCCATCATCGTATAAAGCCCGCCCTGGCAATTTGATTGGCCCGACATTTTCTGAACCGATCATAATTACTCCTCAATGGAGCGAGTCCAGACCGAACTTCCCAACCAAAAAATTTTGTGGGCGGGGTTCGGGCTGGCATCCAGGCTAGAAGGACATTACATGTAGTCACGCAATGCAATTTGAGAACAATTTGAGAACAAAGTATAATTTGCTCGGTTTTGCGTGATATGATAACTTATAAGCGATTGTTAGATTTAATCAGCGCGATTTACTGCAATGTCAGAACCAGAACAAAAGTGGATGTTACTTGTTCAGATGACATTTTCCGGTGAAAATTCTTATGTTGGTCATACTTCCAAAAAGAATAATCTGTGATTCTGAATGCCAGTATCCACATCGGCGCGGTGACTGACAGCTGCACACTCTCCTCAAACATTGTGTTCATCCGTGCTGTGCTGTGTCGAGGCACAGCGCGGAATTATTAACGTAAAGTTGATAATTCCGCGAATGACTGCAATTGCAGATTTCGAACAGAGATGAAGATTAAGAGGAAAAACGCCGGACTGCAGCTTTAAGCATAATCCACCAAATATCTATCACTACCAAAAGCTAGCAACTATCTTAGGACATGCTAGTGGCATGCTAGCAACATGCTAATTCCTGTTAGCGATATGCCAACGCATTCTCATCCCAAAGCGTAATATTTTGACTCTTTTGCCAAAGCGTCTATATCCAACGCATATGGCACCCTTTAGCGTCAATATAACACGCTTCGGTTTTGGGTAGGTTTAGGTCTGGGGTAGTGTTAGGGTTAGACCACTAGGTAAGTCTGTCATTCATCTATCTATCTATCTATCTATCTATCTATCTATCTATCTATCTATCTATCTATCTATCTATCTATCTATCTATCTATCTATCTATCTATCTATCTATCTATCTATCTATCTATCTATCTATCTATCTATCTATCTATCTATCTATCTATCTATCTATCGCCTTCAAAACCTTTTAAAGAAGGTGGGGGCTCATCCGAGATAAATTACTTCTGGAACACCAGGATGCTTAATTCATGTTTCAGGTTGGATGTATAGTGATTAAGCCTTATATTAACTGGTAAATGCTGTGTGTATGTGTGTGCATATGTATACGTATAGCCTATATATACATATAGGCCTACTTCTTTTTTGTTTTTGTTGGTTGTTGCCGTTTATGGCAATGTGGTGATTGATGTTAATCCCGAGTAAAATATCCACTTGACCGCTTCCTCAGCTTAGTGCAGGGTAGTGTCCAGCTGGGCTTATGTTAATGACACCTCTCGTATATTTTTGATAGGAGGTTATTTATTTTGTTTGGAATAAACACATGAATCTGACACATGTTTTGGGTCATCCTTGGTTTTCCACCTGGAACAATTATTTATTTTGTTCGTCCCTTACCCCCAGACATATCAGGGACGTAACAAAAGCTTTAAAATTACTTTAAACTTCAAACTACTTCAAATTGAAAACTCTCAAAATTCAAGCTTTTAACACTTTTTTAAAACTTTCTGGTCAGGCTTTCTCAAGCCAACTTCAAAGTCTGTCAACTGTTTTTGTCATAATTATGACTTTTTATCTCTCCCTTTTTTTTTCATAATTACAATTTATCAATCTTTGTGTGTGGGATGGAAATGGACTTCCATAATTGGAAGTCCAAGAAAAATGTGATTGTATTGTGATTGTGAGTCATATCTTTTCAATGAATCGGTCGATTTGCTTTACAAGACGAGTCTGAATGATCCATTCGCAAATCAAACTGATCTAGTTCTCAAGTTCAGCTCACAGTTCAGAAGAAATTAAGTCATACGGGTTTGGAATGACATGAGGGTAACTAAATGATGACAGAACGTAATCTGTAAGACTGTCATGGTCAACATGTAGTAAGCATAACTGACTTTCACAATATCCTCCTGAAGGTGCTGTGTAAGGAGGGTCTTCTGGGCAATCGTGGGTACTGGGAGGTGGAATGTGAGGGCTGGGTGGTGATCGGGGCAGCGTGTGAAAGCGCAGGGAGAAAAGCTAAGGATGGCCCGTGTGGCCTGGGAGAGAATGACCTGTCATGGGGTGTTGGCTGGGCCGGATCCTGCTACCATGTCTGGCACAATGGAGAGAACATAGAATTCCAGGCTCCTCTCTGCCCCGTCATCGGCATCTATGCTGACCAGCCAGCTGGCATCATCAAGTTTTACCTTGTTGAAGAGGGAGAGAACGGCTCCAAGGAGGTTAAACTGGTTCATCGATTTACAGCCAAATTAAATGAGAAGCTCTTCCCTGGTTTCTGGGTGGGCAGGAACTCCTACTGCTGGATCCGAAAGAAGGACCAGTAAAGGGGGGAATACCTGAAGAGAAGGAGGGGTTGGAAGAATTATTGTAGTTAGATACCTTTTTTTCCTGTTGGTAAGGGTGATGTAAGGAAAAGAAGAGGATAGCTATGCAGGAAAATGTTATTGGTAGGGAGTCAGAAGCACAAAAAAAAGGTCACTAACTACAATAATGAAATGAAACTGTAAATGGAGACTTGCATTCTAAACCTGAATCTGCCTTTGTTACAAACCACTAGGTTGGTTCAAAAGTGTGCATCCTCATAATATATTATTTTAACCAGTAATTTAATTGGTGTAGCATTAATCTTTATACTAATGATTTTGAATAGTCACTGTTTTCATTTTATATTCCATGTGATGACAAATGCAGATACTGTAGTGAATATTTATTTCTGTGCACTAATAAACCAGTGCAAAATAATAATAATTTGTGTTCTATATGAGTGGTGTGTTGTTTTTATTGCTGACATGTCATTAAAACCAGGTACTGGTTTTGAGGGCTTCTCAAAGAGTCAAGGTTTGGCTGGTTAGCGACCCAGTTAACCCCTGCTGGTAGATGCTGTAACTTAACCATGTGGAGCCACAAATAATCTCTCCAATGATGGCCATTCAAACGTTTGCTAGAAAAAACAACATTTCTCTATGTATGTGTTCTTGTGGTACCACCAGCCAGAGTAATTTACGCATTTGTGTCACATTTTTTTTTTTACATTTGCTAAAGAAACTGTCAAGCAACTACCATTGTTATGAATGGGACTGCCTAATTCAATCTGTTCATCATATAAACCGATCGGGTCTCTGCAGATAATGTTGGGATAAACCGCTCGATTCATATGGATTGGTTTTATGATCTCTTTATTACCTTTTTGAAGTGTCAATGTGGTTAGTTGTGTAGCTGTCAATGGAGGGACAGAAAGCGCTCAGAGTTCATCAAAAAGATCTTAATTTGTGTTCCGAAGATGAACGAAAGTTTTATGGGTTTGGAACAACATGAGGGTGAGTAACTAATGAATTAAAGAATTTTTGGGTGAACTGTCCCTTTAAGATGAATGGCTTCGTTGTATTTGTCACTGAATTCATAAACGAATGCTAAGGATAGCTCGGAGTAACTGTACACAAAAACTACATGCAAAGCCAACACCGCCCTCTGCTGGACACCAGAAGCATACCTTCCTCAGAGAGTTAGACATTCAGACTTCAGCTTACTCAACCACACCAAGACAAAAACTGAACTTGTAGAGGAAAATAAGACAAAAAAGGCAACAGGTTTCAACAACAAATAACTTTTATTCAAAACGGATTTACTTAACCATTGAACAGTTGTGAAATGTTTAAGATGAACACAGCTGGTTGACATCTGTAGTGTTGTAAACCCTCATTTGACACATCCTTCAGTCTAGCAACATTTTTAGAGAAGTTATCAAACTAATCAACAATTATACAATTCATATTCCTGCATTCATATCCATTATCAGCACATTAATCAGTTATAATGCAGAAACAAGTCATTTCTGGGTGAAAAATCCCAAACATTGGTGTTTTTTCAAAGCTTTGTCCTCTCATTGTCCTTTTGCTTTACAAAGCATTGATTTATAGAAAGTCTTCAGGACAGTATCGGAAATAAAAGTGAGTCTACACAGGCAGAGAATGACATCATTTGCAAGCATTCACATTAACATCTAGTCAGCTTTGGCAATCCTGCCATGGAATATACTTTACTGAATTCACAGTAGTCTATATTTCCAAGAACATGTAGTGTTTGCTAATGTACAATGCTCCTCTGGTGATGGATGTGCGAGTGTCTCAGTATGTAAATAGGCTCATATACTATCAGTAAATCCCACACTGCAGAGGACAGTTACAGGGCACGATTAGTAATGTAAAGAAGTTATGACATTTGTTCTGTTAGTGTTTCTCAATGAAATGCACAAAAGTCTGCCACAACCATCCAGTCAAAGCCAGAAGAAATTCTTAAATTAAGACATGCTAATTAAACCCTCCTCCTTCTGCTGCAGATGTAAAGGTTTTGCCACTTTCAACGCCATAGAAATACTAATGATATGCAGGATAAGCTTCAGATTTGGCAACATCTTTGCTAAAAACATCCATCAAACCTTGTGTCTTTTAAACTCTCCAGTTCTGTTCAAATCACTTTCACACACAAACAAGCTCACGGCTCGTTCTCAAGCAGGCTCAAACATACATACGCACACATTGGTCTTCTCTCAGTGCTTAAGAGAGAAGTCGCCTGTGTTAAGGCGAGGTCGCGGCAGTGCTCCAAACATCTCCGTTCCATCTGTAGCCCCTGGAACCAGTAGGGCTTTCATACTGGCAGCTATGTGGTCCAGATCGGCACAGCCCAGCTGAAATAAAAGAGTTATTTTAATCAAGCTGAACACACATGTAAAAGTAATTTATATATATATATATATATATATATATATATATATAAAAATGACAAAATTATAAGAAGTGTAATAAAAATTTTCTACAAAATAAACCAAATGTCAGCAAGGGTGGTAGTCAGAAAGGACTTGGCAACAAAACATTATATCCATAACTAGGTCAATAATACAGTACAATAATATTGCACCCGTTTATGTTTAGTACATAGATTCACCCCCCAAAATATATTTAAATACAGTTTTTATTTAAATAAAAACGTGTGGGCCTCTGACGCGAGTTCACGAGAGCGCCACGACCCATGCGCGAGAACTGAGAAGAAGACGCTCACGATCATTTGATGGGAAAGTGTGAAAGGTAAGCCATTCATTTTGCGGCATTGGTAAGGCACTTTTACGTTTTCTCGTTGGTTTCTCACGATTCGGACATCCAGAAAATACACACATTAGAACCATTTTAAACACTACATTGAGACCCATCTGCATCATCTTCTCAGTTCTGGCGCAATCGTCGTGTTGCTCTCGTGAACTCTCATCAGAGGCCCACACACCTGAAAACGAATAGTTGAATAAAGTCGTTATTTTTGTTTTTTTGTGCGCACAAAAAGTATTCTCATCGCTTGATAAACTCAAGGTTGAGCCACTGTAGTCACTTGGACTATATTAACGATGTCTTTACTAACTTTCTGGGCCGGCAGATGCAATTACCTGGCAGCCTATGGAGGAGTGAGACAGCTCTCAGATTTCATCAAAAATATCTTAATTTGTGTTCCGAAGATGAACGAAAGTCTTACGGGGTTGGAACAACATGAGGGTGAGTAATTAATGACAGAATTTTCATTTTTGGGTGAACTATCCCTTTAAAGGTGACTGTTAAAAGTCCGTGCCCTGACATAGACTACGTTACCCATAATGCATGCGTTCGTTGTAGTTCCGATCGCTCGTGGTTACGCTAGGCGCTTTCACTTTGGTGTAGTCCAGTCAGTACCATGAGAGCAGTATTCACGATGCAGAGAATTGCCATCCTTTGTTTATCCTGCGCGAATCTTGTGTGTATGAGTGCTGTGTGCGTCCTTAAGATGTAAGTACGGATTTTGCATGAATGACTCGTTTATTGCAGAGCTATTAGCCCAGATGGCGAAGTTGTTATACTCGTGTTATTCACTACTGCTATACGGCTGTTGCCGTTACGGCGCTCCATATGCGCTCATAAAGTAGCCATTTACTGTATATACTTTAGTTATTGCCTTGTAAATAACCGTAAATATTATATTTAATGTATAGTTCGCCTATTTTGGCACTTTTCACCATGTGGAGATTTATGGCATCTATGCAAGTTAATTTATAGTGTTAGAGCTCCCACTAGTGGATTTTGGTCGTACTGCGGGTCATTTCTTTATGCAACTATATGTAACCATAGAGGGGTTTCACGACGCGTCATCAATCCGGAAGTCGGCCATTTTGGAGGCACAGAACGTAATGCCACTGAACTGAATGGACTCGCAAATTTGGCTGATTATTGCTGCTGAAAAATGGTCGAGTTTTTGTCTGTACCAATCGGTCACATCGGGAAAAAACATGTCGAGTGCTATAGACTGTCAAAAGTTAAAGAGAAGAGTGCAAAAAACTGACGAAAGAAGGCGTTTGTGGTTGAGAGAGGTAGTACATCATCAGACAGGTGTAAATGAAGCGTTGACTATGGCTAAAATGTCGACGTAGTTAACTATGGCTACATTCACACTGTCAGTCCAAATCCGATTATCTTTGTATCAAATTGGAATCTGATCTAAAATGATGTCCACACTGTGTATCGCAACTGTTCAGATCCGACGTGTGTGTCCATGCATGTTATTTGGTAATATGGCAATGACTTTGCGTTGATGGAGGGGTTGCATTTGCAATATAATGTTAGATGTTGTCTTTTTTAAATGTTACAACATGGAAATGTGTATAGCCGCCGCGCTGGACTACTACGGCAGAACTGTAGGAGGCTGGTATGTAACGTTACTGCTTTTTTCCCACGCTCGTCTGCGCCGGTTTCAGAAATACCGGTAGTACTTTTCTGCTCGTCTGGCACTTTGCAACAACACAGCATTGTTTCGGCAGTGACTTTCAGCATGTTTCCTATAAATGACGTTTGCATTTTAAGACATACCACGCGAAATCCGATCGTTCAGACTGAGGCTGATGTCCTGATATGTGATTTGAATAGGATTTCAAACCACATATGGATGTAACTTGAAACGAATTTCTTGTGCTTTTTTGGACTGACAATCTGAACGTATCTTATTTCGGGATACTAAATAGATGGAAGAATTGCAGTAATGTTACGTGCTAGAGAAGCTAACTCGTTCGGATCTTTAGCAGCTACCACATAATATGACCACATAAAACATATTAACTTTAGTTTGTCAAAATGTTGCGCTCTCTCCTGCTTCCCAAGTCCTTCTCTATATGATTTCGCACCTACCACGTGTTTTTTTCCGTGGTTTATTAGTGTAACAATGTGTTCAGTAGTACATGAACAGTGCAATTCATGCTGTTGTTTACATCCGAGTGCCTCCATAATGGCCGCGCATCCGGGTTACCGCCCAGAACGTGACGTTGGTGAAACCCCTCTATAGCCTACATGTTTATTAATATACATTTTATTGTATTTTCTGTTTCAGATAACCACACATACACACCTATTTTGTCATATTGATACCTGTAAACCATCATCATCTCCATGTACCTGACTTCTCCTCAATAAATACTAAAACTGCATCATTGGATTTGCCTATTCCTTCTGATCGAGCAAGACTCAGTTGACGAGCAATCCATAATCAGCCTCAGACGCACACGGTCTCTTACAGTGACCTATAATTCAAAATTGAATTTACCTTGGTATAGTCAAATAACAAGAGTTCAGTGCATGGACATGACATAGAGTGAATCTCAAACTGGACTGTTTTCGCGTTCTCATTTAATTCACGTTTATGAAAAACACCCCTGAAAAACGGTCGGTTCTCCACACAATACCGACTGTGACGCAATAGTCGGGATCATTAATATATACGCCTCCAAATATTTGCATAATGCCAGCCCTCAATGCCAGGTGGAACTGCGCAGCCGAAGCATGGCAGTTGCTCAGTGTGGATGTACACATGAACAGAAGTATTTTTTAGTTCCTTCATCTGAGCCTCTGAAGAAACAATGGGTTAATTTTATTTTCTCTGGAAATTTCCAAACATTTCACCGAGTGTTTCCTCAACTTGGGCAAATACAGAGCTGGCCTCGGATCGAGCTACCAAGCAACACTTTCTGATGTGTAATTGTTCAAGTTCAGACAGGTAATATTTCTCTCAAAATCGTTCAATACTGTTTATGCATCAGTAAGTCAAGCCAGTGACTAAAATATCAGCTTCACATCGTTTCTTTTAGTAGGATGAAAATAATCGTATTTAAATTGTGAACAAATTATATACAGAAAGCGATCAAAGAACAATCTTTCCACACAGCGCGAGTTTATCTGGACACTTGCCAAACTCGTTATGAAATCAATGACGCACGTTACTGCACAACGAAGCTCTTACTGTATTTACATCATCGTGTTTGCATTGGGGAAAGCAGAGAGAGTGCAGAAACTGCTTTGCAATGATAAGATCTTCATTCTCGCGATCAACACACTGTCATCTGCTCAATGCTCATCACGGCAACATTTTATGTGATGGGAATAGATCTAAATACTTAAAAAACATCTCACGATTCGTTAATCTCGATAGCTGTTATAGTAAAAACGTATAATAGCAGTAGTAAAAGTATTCGGGAGAGAGTTTCACATGTAATGCGTACAAGCTATTTCATATGCAAGCATGTCAGCCAATCACAGCAGTGGCCGCGGTTACACTGAATCCCACAGCAGACACGCCCCTTCAAACAGAGTGTTCAAATCAGAGGCTAAAAGCAGGCTAGGAAAAATGCCATTTATTTCTAAATTATGATTATTTTTTATCTAAAAAACATACTAACATTATAAGGGTAACCCAGGAAACATTATAAAATAATAAAAAAAAACATTCTAGGGCACCTTTAAGCAGCACAACTGTTTTCAACATTTCACATAAAACATACTAAAATAGACGTTATTTTAAATTCTAATAATATTTCACAATATTACTGTTTTCACTGTATTCTTGATTAAATAAATGCAGTCTTGATACATATAAGATATTTCTTTCAAAAACATTAAAAAAATCTTACCAATCCCCAACATTTGAAAGGTAGTGTTAGTGTATATTGGCAATATACACTCACCGGCCACTTTATTAGGTACCCCATGCTAGTAACGGGTTGGACCCCCTTTTGCCTTCAGAACTGCCTCAATTCTTCGTGGCATAGATTCAACAAGGTGCTGGAAGCATTCCTCAGGGAGTTTGGTCCATATTGACATGATGGCATCACACAGTTGCCGCAGATTTGTCGGCTGCACATCCATGATGCGAATCTCCCGTTCCACCACATCCCAAAGATGCTCTATTGGGTTGAGATCTGGTGACTGTGGAGGCCATTTTAGTACAGTGAACTCATTGTCATGTTCAAGAAACCAATTTGAAATGATTAGAGCTTTGTGACATGGTGGAAGTAGCCATCAGAGGATGGGTACATGGTGGCCATAAAGGGATGGACATGGTCAGAAACAATGCTCAGGTAGGCCGTGGCATTTAAACGATGCCCAATTGGCACTAAGGGGCCTAAAGTGTGCCAGGAAAACATCCCCCACACCATTACACCACCACCACCAGCCTGCACAGTGGTAACAAGGCATGATGGTTCCATGTTCTCATTCTGTTTACGCCAAATTCTGACTCTAACATCTGAATGTCTCAACAGAAATCGAGACTCATCAGACCAGGCAACATTTTTCCAGTCTTCAACTGTTCAATTTTGGTGAGCTCTTGCAAATTGTAGCCTCTTTTTCCTATTTGTAGTGGAGATGAGTGGTACCCGGTGGAGTCTTCTGCTGTTGTAGCCCATCCGCCTCAAGGTTGTGCGTGTTGTGGCTTCACAAATGCTTTGCTGCATACCTCGGTTGTAACGAGTGGTTATTTCAGTCACTGTTGCCCTTCTATCAGCTCGAACCAGTCTGGCCATTCTCCTCTGACCTCTGGCATCAACAAGGCATTTCCGCCCACAGAACTGCCTCTCACTGGATGTTTTTTCTTTTTCGGACCATTCTCTGTAAACCCTAGAGATGGTTGTGCGTGAAAATCCCAGTAGATTAGCAGTTTCTGAAATACTCAGACCAGCCCTTCTGGCACCAACAATCATGCCACGTTCAAAGTCACTCAAATCAACTTTCTTCCCCATACTGATGCTTGGTTTGAACTGCAGGAGATTGTCTTGACCATGTCTACATGCCTAAATGCACTGAGTTGCCGCCATGTGATTGGCTGCTTAGAAATTAAGTGTTAACGAGCAGTTGGACAGGTGTACCTAATAAAGTGGCCGGTGAGTGTACATTTCCTTCTGTATCATTTTCCATTTTGTATGAAATTGTTCAAAAATGGTGCATCGCAGCACATACCATATTGGCCAAACGAGTTATCGAAGTTGGTGGCATAATTTTGCTACCTACAGTTTAACACATATTTTGTACTAAAAGAGCATACATCATCTGGAAAAAAAAAAAGCTGTAGAAGAAGGGTATGTAGATGAGGGCATGCATGAAGCGGATGTGTAACTGACCCGTTCTCCACTATGGGAGTCACCCTGATGGGCATGGTTGTTCCTGTAGCCCCACACAGGTACAGACACAGGCAGTGAACGAGCCATTGCCATGGGGTTAGACGAGCGAGATGCCAGGTGACCCATTGCCAAGCCACGGGGAGGGGGAGGGGCTTCTTCACTCAGAGAGCCTGACAGCAATAAAAACAGATATAAATACATGAACAGCAATAAAAACACATTTATGTTCCAGTGTCAGACACAACTCGGATAATGATCTCTTTGAACAGCACTTAAACCATGGAGAGTCATTATATTTACTCACAGGGTTTCCATACTTTCAATGATATTACCAATCACTCGTGATCACAGAATAAGGATTTTAAACTATGAATACATGTTATATTGGTAACATAGCCGGTATTAGAGATTATAAGTCTCCTATGCACAAGACTGCATTTATTTGATCAAAAATACAGTAAAAACAGTAATATTGTGAAATAATACAATTTTAAATAACTGTTATCCATTTTAATATATTTTAAAAAGTAATTTATTCCTGTAATGGTACAGCTGAATTTTCAGCATCTGAACTCCAGTCTTCAGTGTCACATGATCCTTCAGAAATCATTACAAAATGCGGATTTGCTTCTTAAAAAAAAAAATTCTTTTTCTTATTTAATGTTGAAAACAGTTGTGATGCTTAATATTTTTTTGTGGAAACTGTGATACATTTGTATTCAGGATTCTTTGATGAATAAAAAGATCAAAACAAAAGCATTTATTTGAAAGGGAAATTTTCTGTAACATTATAAATGTCTTTATTGTCAAATTGTACAGTCTTTTGATCAATTTAACGTGTCCTTGCTGAATAAAAGTATTATTTTCTTTTAAAAACAAAAGTACTGACACCAACCTTTGAACAGTAGTGTTCCTTTATGAGCTGAAGATATTTTTGTGTATGCTCATTTCCCCTATCTTTACATTTAGATGACCTTCTAACACCCACTTAAAGTTAATCTTTTAAAAAACTAATAATTAAATATATATTTATGCTATATTATAATGCTGTAATGTCTAAACATGAAAAATGTGCCATAACATGAAAGTTATTTTTGGCTTTTGTCAGAATTTGGTACATCCCCATAAAAAAATAAAATAATACTAATAATACTACTACTACTAATAATAATAATAATAATATTTCACCATCAGTGCTCTCCTCCTCCCCATCAGACTCAAAGAAGGGCTCACAGTCCCGGGACAGAGAATCCTCATCCATTGAGAAGACACCTGAGAAATAGAGAGAGTTGAATTTGAATTCACAAATGACCTAAAGGTGACAAACACTAGTATCATCAACAGGTGAACTTACCTGCCGATTCATTCAGGTTACGTCTCCTTCCATCCAAATCTTCTTCTTCCTCCTCCTCCTCCTCCTCTTCATCATCATCATCCTCTTCCTCTAAGTCCACAGCCTTCTCGCGCTCCTCCATCGCCGCTTTCTCCCTTTCACGCTCTCCATGCTGACCACCTGGCTGGCCAATGGCAGCAGCTGAGCTGTAGATGGACGGATAGCTCTGAGAATAGAGCCTCATGTTGGGACTAATTGTCCCGACTCCATCTCCAGTCAAGCTCTTTGGAAAGAAGACAGAAAGTCATGAGGTGTTGCGATCAAGGTGTCCCTGCCCCCTCCCCCAGCAGTAACGAATCACCACTCACCAGCCTGTCAGACGGCACATCCAAGCCCAGTTTGGCTCCTCCCTCCACTGTATTCAGACGTTTGTGTCTCTGTGCCGTCAGTAGAGTGGTGGAGTGCAGAACGGCGATGTCATCCATGTATCGCCGTGACGACTCAGCCAGTGCCCCTTGTCCCCAAACGTGATAGGCATAATCAAACTTTCTGCTTCCGGAAGTTCCTCCCCCGTCGTTATTCCTCGTTCCTTCCACTTCGATCCCGGAGGGACGGAACTTTTTATACGCGGTCAAAATAGCCAAATCACAACCGGTCGTCTGGCTGTAAGTCTCAGCGGCAGCAAGCAGCGCCAGCCAGCTCTCCTTGTGATTATCAGGGATCTCGGGGTGAGAGGATTTGGTGACAGAGGCCATGATGCGTTTATAAAACTACCTATGGGTCTATTGAAAGGTTTTTGGAATTCGTTGTTTTGGAATGCTGAAATGCTGGTGTGTGGGTTTATGAAATGTGTTTTTGTGGTAACAACTCTTTGGTAATGAGAATTTGGTTTAGTTGATGCAAACAGGACTGTTAGAAGAGGCACATTTGAAATGGGTGACAGTGTCTGCCAGCATGAGAGAACTAGGGGAGAGATGGGAGGACACCACCACTTGCTGATGTTACCTAGAAAAGGAAAAACAATATGCATTAATCAAACATGCAATAAAAATATAGGATTATGCTTATTTCGGCAAAATAGACATGCATTTTTATTTCGAATTGGCTCATCAAATGCTGTGCCACAAACCCCCCACTCACTTTAAAGGTAGCAGCTACGCCTCCATTCACTCGCACATGTAGCACACGTACACGTCTGTTTGGGACGTTCTCGTTTAAACGAGGACCAGTCTTTGTGAAACGCTAAAAATCATTTTCGAGGCCTGTTGTGCAGCGGACTTGTCTGTCTCTCGCATTTTCTGGACGTACAGCCAACCATTATTTTTGTTGCTTTCGTTTGTTTGTTTGTCACTGTCTGCTTTAATATGTAACTGCCCAAATCTACGGATAAACAGCGGGTTATTTGCATTACGACATTAACTGATGTAGAGCTTGTTGATTAGTTCAGTGGTAAGTGGCCAAGTGAAATACACAGACAGGCCAGTGCGCTCCAGCGTTAGCAATGCAGCTAAAAATCTATTTAAACGGTTTGCATAATCAATCGGGTTGCTTCGAGGAAAGAAATACAATTAGTTGACTTACCCTCTTAATATCCTACAGCCTCTGTCACAATCGTCCTTTACTTCCAACTTTATTCAGCCCTCTTTGTTCGGAGCCTATTACCCCTGTGCCTGTCTCTCTCTCTCCCCTAGACTCCAGTGCAGCGACGCGCACAGCGCTGTTTACAGTAGGAGCAGAACAGTGTTGCCAGATTGCGCATGAGAAACAAACAAATGGTCTGAAAAACATGCACAAAATAAGCGACCTATTTATTTTTCCATGCGTTCTTTTCTTTGTCAATTAGCATAGAAAACACAAAAAGCAGGAGTTTCTATTACATTACAATGACATTATTAAATGTACAATTACATTTTTTACTCACTAGGCCTACTATATATTATTTAAACTATTTATTTATCATTCATTCATCTTCATTTTTTTATTGTATTAATTGGTCAATTTTTAACGCTGTTTTTCTCTAGACCTTTCGACGGACCTTCTTGGAATAAGCCCCCCAAAACGCAATCCTCTACTGCTCATTCAATCATATGCAAACGCAAAGAACAAGCCCCAGAATACGGGTTGTGAGTGGACATGGCAACATCATACCTGTCAAGTTTTGGATTTGAAAATAAGGGAAATTTTCCAGCGCCCACCGCGAGCAGTCCCACCACACCATATATATATATATGTATATATATATGTATGGTATATATAGGGTATATATTAAGAGCATTTATTTAAAGGCTTATTTGCCTATTTTCTGTTCATTTAACATTGATGGTTTACATTTACATTTTATTTTCATTCCACACATTATTTTCATTTCATATAGCTTTTCTTTTACAGTTTTTCTTTTCATTTGCAGTTTTTCTTTTCTTTACTCTTTTAGTGAGTTATTGAACAAATTTGTTGCAGACTTTGTTTTAACTGTTTTGGAAGGAGTGTATTTGTGGGCTGGGCCAGAGTGGTTAATTTTACATGAGAGTAGAGCAAACAGTTCTGTTGTCTAACGTCATCCTATTCTCTGTAACAATATTTCGTACCATGCTAAACACCCTTTCTCGTGCTGACATACATCATTCCTTCCCCGTGTGAGATGCTAAAGTAGCAGTTACAAAACTTACAAAACGTGTGACTGTCCCCCACCCTGCTCCTCTTTAGAAAAGTAAATTCGCTATCCCATTGATCGATCGCGGTATTTACTAGTACATGAGGGTTTTGGTTTTGTTTTTTTGACAGGAGTGCCTTGCTCTGTCATAGCGTCCATCATCCGTCTCTGTTTTCCCCGCGTTGTCACTCATGGTCTGACCTCACACACTAACCTCGCGACAACTGCCACCTACAGTAACGTTACCTGTAGTTATCGCGAGGCTAGTGACAGAGCTCAGATTGGGAATGTTTTTGTTTTTTTTACTCCGCCCGGGGTATTATTATTTTTTAATAACGCAGGTTAAAATACGGGAGATTTACGGGAAAATCCTAATACGGGAGGACGGCGGGAAAGAAGGGTAAAATACGGGACTTTCCCGGCCAAAACGGGATACTTGACAGGTATGGGCAACATTCAGAGCGAGATCATGCGTCAAAACATTTGCAGAGGTAACGTGCAGAAAGTACAAATAAGAGAGCAGGTGTGACATTGAAGGAAGCTGATAATAAACGATGTATAATGATTTACTTGACTCAATGTGCAGTAATGCTTTTGGCGCAGACTAAAACGACTACATGGGTTTAGCCTTCTTATTTAAAAGTCATAGTGGCACTCAGTATACAAAAAGTAGTTGGTGTCATATCGCATAATCAACTTACAATTTTCATCAAAGATAATTTTTTTTAATTGAAATTCTGGCATTACTCACTGATATGACTGACTGTCTTTCAGGACCTTAGACCTTATTCAGAGCAGCGCCATGTGAGAGCGAGGCTGGTCAGGGGATCTCTGGATAATCCGTAATTCGAATTACGGATTATCCAGAGATCCCCTGACCGGGGCTGTGGAGGCGGGTGTTTCAAGCTGTATAAAAAGATCCTAGATCACTTATAATTTTCCACAGCTCATGTTATCTGGAGTTTTTGTCTACTGAAATTACTTGGAAAGATATTTTTTGCAGTGTTTTGTAAGCAGAACAATTCAAAAACAAACACGTTATATATATAACTGAAGAGATGCATGTGGGCATGTCTATCACTAGCCTCGCTTTCATCCCCGTTAAGTTTGCACTGCCGTGAATAAGGTCTACCGTCTATGGATCACAAAATTGATTGAGACTGCTATCGGAGATTGCCTTATTATAGGGCGATGAGAGGGTCTGTATCTCTTACCATTGGAAAAAGCGTAACGGACCGGTTAACTTGGATCTCGTGAGGCACCTCACCCTAGCCTATCATATAATGGCGGTGACGTCAGTGGCTAAATTTCACTTCTTGTTGTCAATATACGTTCTTTGGTGTTATTTATCAGTGGAGACAGTTTTCAAAAATGATTTTTATTAGGATTGCTAATAAATATATTAGCATATATTATATAAATAATATATATTAAATGCACAATATCAGCATCATAGTGCATGGCAGTCATAGTCATTGTAATACGTAGTCCACTGAGGAGTCCAGTTGCAACTAAACCCAAGTGCAGTTATTAAACAAAATACAGATAAACAAAACAAGAAGATGACTATAATTGAGCTTGACTAGAATATAACATGAGCATAAACCCAGGGGCCAGTTGCATAAACTGCTAAAACTAAGGTGCGTTCCATTCGACCGTAAGTGGACTGCGAAGACTCCTCACCACGGCTCGTCTCAGGTGCTGCGGTTATCACTCCGCCCAAATAGCAGTGCTTCGCCTTCAGAGAATATAGTTCCCAGTATTTATACGGTTAAAATATGTCTGTGTCTCATGTGACTTTGTTTTTGTACACTCTGTGACTATACAAATCACAACATGTAAATAGGAAAATGTTTCCGTTATTTTGTCACTTATTTGGATTAGTATGCTAGCTGCAACCATTTACATCCAGTCTTTGTGCTAAGCTAGGCTAGCGGTGGGTGCGTCAAACAGACTTATAGCACGCACGGAGATGAAAAAGGTATGTATGGACTTATCTAACTCTGGGGGATAAGGTGAATAGGCTAAAGTCCCAAAAAGTCGGAGTGTTCCTTTAAGTGAGATTCCAATCCAAAGGGAACGAACATGTTCAGTTCGAAGGGCACTGCAAAACGGCATAGGGAATAACGGAAGTTACGGAACATCGATACATCACTTCACAGGAAGTGGAGAGCGAAAATCAACCAACTGTCATTGTGCACCGCGTCACCAGTCTGAACTATAGAGCAGAGCCGTTGGAAGAGATTTTAAATTGAAATTGTTAAGGCGAGACACGTCAGGCAAAAACATCGTTTTTTTTCACTGGTCAATTTTGAGATTTTGGGCTATTTGTCTTCAATAACATGTCTTCTTTCAGACTTGTGGTGAAAAAATTTACAAAATACACATTTAGGTCTTTTTTACTACACTTTGTCTGTTTGCGTCTGTAGATTTCTCCTAAATTCAACAAAAAGTTGTCGTTCTAAATCAACATGCTGCTCTGCGAGCGCGATCTGCACCCTGTCATCACATACACCGTTGGAATGCTCTCTCTCTCTTGCACATTGTTGTCGGATCCAAATATGGTCATTTCCTTTTATCAGCCACCAATCGTGAAAGTACAATGGGCATTTAACTCTAGAACCGAAATCTCATTGGCTGATGTCAATTTCTGACAACGTGATTCGTTCAGATGCATCACGTGACGTGCTTTGACATTTAGATGTGTGTTTTTGACACTTTTTCTGTTCAGTTGAAGGCCATAAATGCTGTGTTATAATGTGATAAGTTGTAATGTGATTTAGGTGGTTTGTATTGTTGTTGCTAACGATTTGATAAGATATTGTGTCTGTAAATAGTTGTTTCCACTAAAAAAAGTATACATTTTTACATTACAAAACTTTAAATGCTGTTTTCTCAAAATGATTTTTTTGTCATTCTCCAGTAGAAACATCTCAGCCTGTGTAGCACCTATGTACACCAAACTTTCCAGTTATACACTTAGCAGTATTCTGAAGATATTTTCAGAGGGATTTGTTTATAAATCATTCCTGGCCTGATTTATGTGACATTTTAATAAAACAAATATGGCGAGAATTGATTTTTTAAGGCTATGGACAGTATATTTTGATTTCCTAGGTAATGAAAGCATATATCCTGAAATCCCTCTGAAATTATTTTTTCATCTTGTGTGTAAACAAAATGAAAAAAATAATTTTGCACCTGGCTTTAGTTTACGTATGCATTTCAGTATTCATAAATATTGTTATTATTTAGTACATTAGTACAACCCCAAATCAGAAAAAGTTGGGACAGTATGGAAAACACAAATAAAAAAAGAAAGTAGTGATTTCTAAATGTACTTGGACTTGTATTTCATTGCAGACAATGTGAACACAAAATATTTTATGTTTTGTCTGATCAACTTAATTTCATTTGTAAATATACATCCTTTCCTGTCATTCTGCAACACATTCCAAAAAAGGTTGGGACAGGAGCAATTTAGGGCTAGTAATCAGGTAAATTGGTTAAATAATGATGTAATTTGAAAAAGGTAATGTCAACAGGTGATTGTAATTATGATTTGGTGCAAAAGCAGCATCCAAGAAAGGTCTAGTCCTTTAGGAGCAAAGATGGGCCGAGGATCGCCAGTTTGCTAACAAATATGTGAGAAAATTATTGAAATGTTTAAAAACAATATTCCTCAAAGAAAGCTAGGAAGACATTTGCTTATTTCACCTTTAACAGTGCATAACATAATTAAAAGATTCAAGGAATGTGGATGAATTTCAGTGCATAAAGGACAAGGGCGCAAGCCTAAGCTGAACAACCGTGATCTCCGATCCCTCAGGCGGCACTGCATCAAAAATCGTCATTCATCTATAAGCGATATCACCACATGGGCTCAGGACTACTTTGGCAAACCTTTGTCAAGTACCACAATACGTAGTTACATCCACAAATGCCATAAAACTGTACTGTGCCAAAAGGAAGCCCTATGTTAACAGTGTCCAGAAGCGCCGTCGACTTCTCTGGGCTCGGAGGCATCTGGGATGGACCATCACACAGTGGAAACATGTACGCCGTGTGCTCCGGACCAAA